TTGCTGTTCATACTCTGTGCATTGGTGTATAGACATTTGAGTCCTTTGTGACTGGCCCTGTGTTTTTCTACATAACCTGTGTGGTGCCTGAGTTCCTCTATTGTCTTACCACCTATTTGGTTAGTGCACTTTGTGTGGCACTCGCTATTAGAGGCTTCATTTTGCTTGACAGCAAGGTTGGTATTCTTGTCCACACACATTAAAACTATGACGTATTATTTAACGGCTACTAATAATTTAGCATTTGAGTAACACATTTTAAACTTTTATATATTCTCAATTTAGTTAGAGAATAGAATGATTTAAAGGTTTTGTAAGCTAGAAGGTTTATGCCTGACTGTCCACCAGCATATTTAGAGTACATCATCATAAATACGCTGACAGTATCTCCAGATGGTTTCATGTTGACTAAGGGCAATCAGATATGAAAAGGAATAGGCATCACACAAACACACAAACACAGAGTGTGGATGGAGAGAGAGAAAGAGAATGCACTAAAAGGTATGTGAGGAACAATATTTATGCAAATATAGTATGATTTCCCCCCCCCCTTTTTTTTCCCCCTACAATGCATTCAAGTATGTAGAAAAAGTATTGGATTTTAGCTAGGAGTTACATATTTTCATATTTCCTAAATGGATGCTTGGTCATCTATATTAGCAAGTGCAGTATCTACTCAAACATCTCCGAGATGTAGCTAGAGCTTTTTTAAGATATCCTGCCTTTTGTCATAATTTTAACATTAAACTAAATATATAATATATAAAAGTGTGAATGCTGTTTGTGGATTTTCATTCAACACAATCATCTCTCAGCATCTGGTGAACAACTTGGGCCTATTGGGTTTTAATACTCCTTTATGTAATTGGATACTTGATTTCCTTATTGATAGGCCCCAGGTTGTGCGAGTCGGAAAGAAAGTTTCCAACTCCATCTCCTTGAGTACAGGTTCTTCACAGGGCTGTGTCCTGAGTCCACTACGGTTCACCTTGATGACCCACGACTGCTGTGCCAAATCTGCTACGAAGCATATTGTGAAGTATGCGGCCGACACGGCAGTGGTGGGTCTTACCTGGGATGACAGTGAAGATGCTTATAGGGAAGAGGTGAAGGCTCTGGTGGACTGGTGCAATAAAAGTAACCTGCTTCTAAATGTTGATAAAACAAAGGAGATCATTGTAGATTTTAGAAAGAGCCGGCATAGTCATCCTCCACTCAGTATCAAGGATGCAGCTGTAGAAGTGGTCAGCAGTATTAATTATCTGGGGGTGCAGATGACTAACAATCTGAATTAGTCTCTCCACGCGTCATCCTTAGTGAAGCGTGCAAACCAGCATTTGCATTTCCTGGGTCGGATGAGGAGAGCACATCTTTCTCCTTCTGTCCTGGCCACTTTTTACAGAGGCACGACTGAGAGCATCTTAACAAACTGCATCACTGTCAGGTTTGGTGGCAGCAGTGCCTCAGATAGAAAGTCCATACAGAGAATGGTAAGGATAAGGAAGAAGATCATAGGACGCTCGCTCCCTGGTACTCAGGATGCTGTTTATAAGCGCTATCTGCTTAGAGCTGAAAGCATTATTAGAGACCCCACACACCCACTTTACGGTCTGTTTCTGTTGCTCCCCTCTGGGAGGAGGTTTTGAAGTATTTCTAGCAGGATTACCCGATTCTATAATAGCTTTGTTCCCTCTGCCACCCGACTGGTAAACTTGGAAGATTCATTTTTCTTGACATGCACATGTATGCATAACCCGTACTAGACTGTTGTTTCTCTGTGTCATATAATATATGTGGATATATGCATAATTCTGTATTTATTTATTTATTCATATTTATGTAGTGTATATAGGAGTTATACCCTTTGAGAGCTGTATGCAACGAAATTTCATTTTAGTGTATGCCGATTAGCGTACGTTCAAAGTGACAATAAAGTTAATTATTCTATTATTCTATTCTATTCTAAACAGCCTTTATTAAGATACTTAAAAGATGCTTCTTGTCAATTTTTGTTCTTTTTAAGCCATTTATGTTTTGATATGTATTCTGTTTTCGATGGAAA